ATCGGTACTTTCTGGTGTAGATACTTCAACGAAATTGGTACTTCCTTATTATCAGTACGTCCTTGATATTGGTACTTCCTTTATATCGCTATTTCCTTTATACGTCGATACCTCTTTGATATTCACACTTCCTTGATAACGATACTTCATAAATATCGGTACTTCCTTGAATGGAAGAAATTTCCTAAATTTTCTATGGCATGAGGTGATAACGTATAGAGATGGAGAGAGAAAGAGAGAGAGAGAGAGAGAGAGAGAGAGAGAGAGAAAGGCGTACATGAGTGGGTGTGACCTAGAGAGAATTTGAGGGAGGGCTAAGAGGGAGATGAGTCAGAGATGGTAAGAGTAGAGGGGTAAAGAGGGTAGACAGAAAGAAAGTGTGAGGGCGGATTAATTAAAATAATGTCAAACTTTAGGCTCCTTGAAATAGCCACCACCACCAAAGAAACAAGAAATATCATACTTTGTTAAACCTCATTAGATTAAAAATGTAACAAAATATTCGAGATGAAAGGACATTTTCTTGGAATGGATTCTTTTTTTCCGGATCCGTCTGATATCCATATTTCACCTTTATTTCACCTGAAATAAAATATCCATTAGGAAAATTCACTAGTGGTCAGTTTAGTCCACTCGCACTTATATCTATAAGAGTGTTTGTCGGTAAATGATATTGATGTAATAAAGAAGTTACACATAATTACTCTTGATACAGTGGCATGTTGGTGTGTTTGTGGAGTGGGGGTTGGGGAGGTGGGGTGGAACTAATTTGGTACTAATCTACTGAAGCCTTGCATTCTGCGACATTTGAGATATTGGAATTTCTTGAGTGTGATTTTTGTACCGGTCGCGACCATCCATAAAATGTTGAGAATTTCCGAGAGCAAATATACATAAGGCTTGTTGAGGGTTTTGTTGGCTACATTGGTTTAGTGATTGACATTTGGTTTATGGAAGCAAGGAGGTCATTCGGCTGAAAGAAAGAGGTCACTGCTTTAAAGGAAGATATGGATCGTGGGTTTAAGACACTAGATGTGGGGCATTTAGTCATCAGAGAGAGAGAGAGAGAGAGAGAAAGATGAGAGGGGGGGGGGAGATAGAGGGAGAGTGTAACACTTTTAGGGCATTATTTTATTGGTGGGAGTGGGTCGTTTGAGTGCAGTGGACAGAGTGTCATTATGTTATTGGAGGGAATGGGTCAAAGGGGTAGTGGTGTGAGGTAGTGGGTATTATGGTAACATGGAGGGTTGGATTGTTAGTTATACGAGGGAAGGGGTGGTAACTTAACATGAGGGTTTGGGTTCAGTTATGTGAGGGAGGGGTTTGTAAGGTTGAATGAGGGGTTTTGTTGTTCAATTGTAAGAGTGAGGGGGAGTATGGTAACATGGAGGGTTGGGTCGTTCAGTCATACGAGGGAAAGGGTGGTAACTTAACATGACTGGTTGGGTTCAGTTATAAACAACTGCTGCTTTGTGGTTTGTTATTGGTTGGACAAAGGCTATAGAAGCAAATCCAAAAAAGAAAAGCAGGCTGAAATCGGAGTCAACGGCCTCAATGGCGAACAACCAGTTGACACGTATACTTAATTGTGTTGGAGGGCATCCCTTCCAACACTAAAATTAAGAACGAAGAAGAAGATAAATGACGGGTTGGGTTCAGTTATATGAGAGAGGGATTAGTAAGGTAGAATCATGGGTTATTTGTTCAGTTATTCGAGCGAGGGGGTGGGACGGTGACATGAGTAGGTGGTTGTTCAATTATACAAAAAGGGGTTATAAGATACCGAGAGGGAGTGGGCAGTACGGTTCAATGAGGGGTTAAGATATTCAGTTAAAGGAGACAGTGGGTCAAGAAGTTCTATAATAAGGAAATATCGCAACTGAAAAAATTTTATTATACCAAAGAAAGAAGGTTATATGCAGTTGATGGTGATATGTTTTTCTCCTGTAACTACAACAAGAGTAAGATATGTTTTAGATAAGGTATGGTACTGTAAAACCACGTATTGTTTACATAACACAAAATTCTCTAATTCTACACTCTCGGAAACGGAATGTCGTATTTCTAAAAAAACCCAAGAGCAAAATTACGTTGCCCTAAAGTGAACTGCAAAGTGCAGTATTTATAAAACAAAATAATTGCCATCACTCTATTCCTGCTGATACTTTCCTCACCCCCCCCCCACCTCACCCCCACACACCTCCCACTCTTCCCCACACACCATTAGCACCACAGAACCATCTTTAAACTCCCACATCCGCTAGAATTACCCAGAAGTCAACGGCTCTTCCTGACCTAGTTCCAGGCGTCCTAATTTCTACAAATCTGAATTTGTCCACCAAAATGGCGTGCCAGAGTGGACCGGTCCAGGAATAAACGAACCCCCCCCCCTCCCCCCATCCCACTTGCTGTTCACCATAACGGTAAAGTACACAGAAATTGACTCGATTATTCAGTCAAGGAACATGTGGACTCATGAAAGAACCGTTTTATTTTTTTTATTTTTTTTTTTGTAAAATGTTTTATTGATAAACACTAATAACAGATAATAAATGAAAAACAAATTCAGTTATTGTGTTAACAATGGCTAAAATACTAACTTAAAATAAGCGAAGTAACATAGCATAATGTTTCATTAAATAATCTCAAAAGTAAAGATACTGTCTTAATGCGAATGGAGGCGAGCGAGTTGACGAGATTCCTTCCATAATGTTGTTGTCATGGAATAAAAACGTGTTTTTTTAGATTTAGACCGTAAAAAAAAATAAAAAATAAAAACTTAAGCCTAAAATTAATTTAGAAATTTTATATTCTTAGAATAAATGCTATAAAAGTTGCAAATCCAGAGAACTTGAAAATAGTTTGTTGAGTTTAAGGCTACATTTCTATTTATTTTCATCAAGCCTAAGTTATAACCGGATGTTTCACTTTCGTAAGACAAATATTGATTGGCTGTACAGTAACTTAGTGATCGATAACTATTTGTTTACAAAACTTTGCAGATCAAGTTTTTAAATGACAATGCAAATTTAAAACCCCATTACCTAGTTTTCTATTTTTAGCTTACAATGTGTACAATAAAATCTATGGCAGCCTATCCAATAGCAGGATGCCATGTTTATGTCGCCATTACACGTGGAAACCAAATTGTTTTTGCTTTTTTTTTAATTTTTATTTAGTTACCGAAAATATTATAAACATCAAATACATCCAATCTTTAGTAAAGTCCGAAAAAAACCAGACAGGCAGGATTTTATAACCATATTAATTGTAAATACGATGTGCATGATTTTTTAATGAATTTATACACCTCTCAAATACCTTTGAGACTTTTCTCGCTGGTGTCCATTATCAGACTATTACCTCACTATGATCGTACTGCGATGCCACTTAAACCCACCTTCCCACTAATTTAAGTTAAAAACGGTGCATATGTCCGTATTCATCACACTAAAATATATATACTGTTCAAGTTTAGACCAGCATTCAGAAATTTCGCTGTCTATATTTCTATCACACGCCGAACAGGGGAAATAATTTCAGCATGGGGAAATAATACTAGCAAGGGAAATAATCCGAGCACTAAAACTCTCTGAACAACCCCCATCTATATGTATATTTTATTATGATACGTAGTAAAAAAGACACTAACGCGGTTGTAGCACAACATAGAATGCCACAGTGTTGGTAGTACGGTGTTATTGATTATGTGGTCTCCGATAGACCTAAGGTTACGAACGCTTCCACTTTTATGTATTTTGTTTTTTAAACAAGGAAACACAAATTGAAATTTGAGCTAATTCGTTCCAATACTTGATAACACATAGAGTAATTTATTTTTTGTTTTGTATTTAATTATATTATTCATGTTTTCATATTTTATATATGTAGATAAAATATGTATAATATTTTTAATGCTTTGATTAAACATATGAAATGCGCATACTAGTGAAGTTTAATTTAATGTGTAAATTTCTTTTCCCTAGCTGTAAACGTATAACATAAAATGCTTTATATTTAATTTATTTTTTAATTTTGTTTTCAGCTGATTAAATGTAATTACCGTCACAAATCGGAATTTTAAAGACCATGGGCATGAGGCTTAGCATCAGCATTACTACAGTGATTATCATGGGTTAATTCTGCAAACTGTATCAACAGCATCAACAACCCAATCTGACTACAACATCACAACACATTCGCTAACAGTAATCTTGTTGTAGGAGTTACTATTGGATATAACCAGTTTGTTTTAAAACAATTTTGCCTGTGATATCTTTAAAGCAAAATATTTCGCAATAGTTTATATAAATGGTAGATGGATCGAAGTAAGTGTAGCGCTTCCTATATTTTCTGGGCACTAATGTAATAGTGACGTCCGTCAACCCATCTCGTCTTCTTCGACAGCAATCACATCATTTCTGATTGGATCTATTTTCAGCGTGATAACACCCACTTTTTAGATCTGATTTGACAACAACATCGCCCTAGCCTTCACCACCTAATGTGACGCCAAATGTTTTTAAACCTAATGTGGCAAGAACGACGTCCTTGCTTTCACCACCTACTGTGACAGTGTTAACACCAATTGTTGTAGATTGACTACAACCTCGCCTTCAAGATCTAAAGAGCTAAACCACCTACCTATTCCAAATCAAATGTGACACTATAAATTTTTGGATTTAAAGTAAAAGTGACAACACCCACCTTTTCATGGATATAATATAACAGTGATTAAACCTACTTATTTTTGGATCTAAAGTGACAACTATCACTTTCTTAAACGTCAACCCAACCCCCACAACTCCTTGTAAATATCAATACCCCTCATCTTAATTAAAACCCCAGCCGTTCGTCGTGTCAGCCCCACCACCCACCAGGCCGCTCGTCTCTCGCCCTAGTGACGCCACACCTCGCTTGGCACCAGCTCCGTGGGGCGACTCGTGGGTGTGGGAGGTGTGGGAGGGAGGGGGAAACATGGGGGAACTCGGCGCCATCGAGCCCCTGTCGGTGGGACTTCAGTACGAGCCGGGCGTTGGACTAGGCAACAGCTCCAGCTTCGACATGGCTTTCAGAGACATGATCAACGCCAACATCGACAATAGCGACAGCAACATGACCAACGCTACGGACATCATCGTCCCCATGTACATCACGGTGAGTCATTTCTTTTTTCTGATTTATACATAGTGTGCTTATATATGAGAGTAAATTATATTAATCACTTTACGACTATAGTCATGCGATCGGTATGTTCAGTTCACAAGAGTATTTTGCATTCAATTCATAAGGAAAAACAAATTACGAACAGTATATATATATATATATATATATATATATATATATATATATATATATATATATATATATATATATATATATATATATATATATATATATATATATATACCAATAATAAAGTACGCTTAACGAAAAGCAAAAGAAAAGGAATATTAGCGAATAGGCCTACATTTAAATGGACCTGACGCGTACAACAGCTGTGAAGACAATTTTGTTTTTCCTTTAAAATTGTTCATCAATCATTTGTACAGCATTAAAGAAAAACGATGTATTGAGGATTCCTAAGGGCATACATGGCTAGAAAAATAATTTCAAGCAATTGGGGAAAAAATGCTTTGGGTGATTATATAAGTAGCCTTTTATAAAAATGTAATTACATCGTTAGATGCGATAATATTCAACGATTTAAGTTTAACGAAACGTCAGATTGTTTTTCATTTCATTTTCTTTTAATAATCTTTAAAAAATACGGATGTAGTATTTTAATTACTAGAGTTAATCTCATTAGGTATTCGGCTTTTAAAAGGGGTTTGTCCAGCCTATTTTTATTTACTCTCTCGATTGGTGTCACTCAAAAAAAGAATTGGACCTAGATTTAGACACACACGTGCACACACACATACACATGCCCACACATACACACACAAGTACACACACATGTACACACACAGACAATTACACACACACTCACACTCACTCACACATACATACTTGCAATCTCACTTAGACTATGTCGCATTTTATATTCCTGAATTGTCTGAAGCACTCACTTTCACTTTTACAGATGCACGCATACACACAAGCACACACACACACACACACACACTCACACACATTTACACACACACTGCCACTCTCGATTAGAATAGGTCGCGATTAAATTGAATCGTGTTTTGAACATATGTATATAGTGTCACACACACACACACACACGCACAGACACACACACACTCACACACGCCAACACGCATACACGCACACACATAAACGAACACACACACACAAACTCTAACTTTGACTATGTCGCATTTTAATTCCAAAATCGACTTTCTAATAAATATTGTCTGATACACTCACTTTAACTTTAGCACACACACACACACACACACACATACATACTTACGCACACCCGTGCACACACACACATACACACACACGCACTCACACACACTCCGTTATTCTCTTTCACTTTCACTCCCTCACCCTCCCGATCAATTGATGAGCCCAAACGAAGCGCGGTCGCCCGTAACATAATTAGTGTTCGCTGTACGCTCATCGAGTTATCGATGAGTATCGATGATAAACTTCACGACCCGGCTTCGATTAGTGTTCATTACCCGAATGATAGTGTTATGAGGGGCGGGTTAACGGACCGGATAAATATTTATCTAGAGCTAGTTATTCAAATCTATTCCTAGGTCTTTTTTTCTCATATCATATTAAAGAATACATCGTAAATCGAAACAAATAATTTGTAAACGTTTACATAATATTTTAGTGAAATGCTTGAAATAAGTCGATAGTTATAAGATGGGTTGTTTAACAGATCGGATAAATATTTATCTAGAGCTATTGGTTCAAATGTATTCCAAGGTCTTTTTTATTATATCATATAAAAAACATTATTGTAACTTGAAAAAAATATATCTGTAAACGCTTACATACTATTTTAGTAAACTGCTTAAAATTAAGTCAATTGCATGCCCTGAGTCCACCTAAGTGACGTAGTTACAAGATTCTGTGGGTTAGATCTACTACTTTGCACTGTACATATCGGGACAATGGTGAAATATTTTAACCAACTTCTTCAAATCATTATTAAAATTTCAATGGATTGTGTCCAGAATTGTAATGATTTAACAACAGCCTTTATAAACAACTGTTAAGTGTGTAGTATTGTCTATTAATTCGTAATGTTGATTCGTGTAGACTTCTTAACTTTTAAAAAACACTCTTTAACACTAAATCTGGGTGTATCTTTTGCGCATGATTACCTACCTAGACTTTGGTTCCCGAACTTTCGTTAGGTCTATCCGGAGTCGATTCAGCTCTAATGGGTACCTGACAGTGAAGGAATATAAAATCGGATGGGTATAGTTACAGCAATTGGTTACTCTACATTTACCCAGTAGGTCCGATGATGAATTTAATCTTGGCTTTTAATGTTTTTAAAGTGTTTTTTTTTTTTAGTTTTTATAAGTATCCCCCCCCCCCTCCAGCATGTCCCCTACCTCACCCTCTTTAGCAAAAAAAGAAAAATATAATTATATAGACAATATATACTCTTACCTGTGTCCGTACTCCCCACCCCCCGATATTTTCAAGTTGCCCCCCCCCCTCCCTCCCCCCAACATCGGGGGAGAAAAATATCTTAAAGAAATACTGTTTGCCTTTGAGATAAAAACCAAACTCTGCCATCGTCTAATCGCATCATGAAAATCCACACAAGCCGCCTACTGCAGTCTCCTTGACCTTTGCCTTCAACAAGAATTAACATCAGTCCTAGTCAGAAGGACAATGTCCTTAATTGGATTTGTCCTTCCTGGACGAATTGGTATAACGCACAAGCTCATGTCATTTCATTTGTCTGGACACACGACAAGACAATCGTATGATTTTTCTCACTAAAGGGAAATAATGCATTATTAATATTTCGAAATCAAGTTTTACTAAACGGAAAGAAAAAGATTTCTTATAACAAAACTATTTCTTACTAAATAGAAACAAATATAATAATATAATTACATGATATATTTGTATTAAAAGAAATAATGCATACTTATATTATTTTTAAAAAAAATCTTCTTACTAAAAGTAACTCAAAACAATATTAATCTTTATTTGTTTAATATATACATATGCTGAAGAGCAGCTTCAAGCACTAGCTCATGTCCATTTAATTTTTCTCTAGTTCTACGTTTTACTAAAGTCATTAATCATGGCTTCCCAAATATCGAAACATTAAAAGTTTGGTTCATATGGAATTTTTAAAGCTGATTTGTACGAATTTTTTACTCGTGACCTTGAGAAAGTGTGTAGAGGTTCGTGTACTGAAATTATCATTCTTGCAACTCGTACACACAATGTAAATGGGTGTAGAATCAGAGAGCTGACATCTGTTGTGCAGAAGAGATTTGGATTTCCAGAGGGCACAATAGAGTTGTATACAGAGAACGTTGCTACCCGTGGTCTTTGCGCAATAGCTCAGTGTGAATCCCTCAGATATAAATTGATTGGTGGTTTAGCTTTAAGAAGGTTGTGTTAAGGTGTACTGCGATTTATCATGGAGTCTGGAGCTGTGAAGTAGTTGTATCTGGGAAACTGTCAGAGAGCCAAATCTATGAAGTTTAATGATGGACCCACAGTTTATCATGGAATCTGTAGCTGTGAAGTAGTTGTATCTGGGAAACTGTAAAAGACCCTAAACTATGAAAGTTTACTGAAGGACCCACAGTTTATCATGTAATCTGTAGCTGTGAAGTAGTTGTATCTGGGAAACTGTAAAAGACCCTAAACTATGAAAGTTTACTGAAGGACCCACAGTTTATCATGGAGTCTGTAGCTGTAAAGTAGTTGTATCTGGGAAACTATCAGAGAACCAACTCCATGAGGTTTACTGATGGACCCAAAGTTTATCATGGAGTCTGTAGCTGTGAAGTAGTTGTATCTGGGAAACTGTAAAAGAGCCTAATCTATGAAGTTTACTGATGGACCCACAGTGGTGAGAAACTGAATGATTATATTGACACGGCTGTCGGTACGTGCTGCTCAGACATGGTTTCTTTGGGTATCAAAGTTAAAAATTATGTTGCCATGGGACCCAAGTGGCGCAATCGGACCACGTGGTCCACTTCCTGATCATGTTAGCATTGTAGAGGTTAAAGAAGAGACTGCGCCTGCATCCCCCTACAGTGAACCAAAAGCAGGCGAGGCTATAAATTTTCCTCCTGTTTTATGCCATTGGGGCCGTAACTTAAAAGTGAATGTGCAAAAAAGAACTAAGCAAATATGACTGTTACAAAAGAAACAAAAAAAATATATTAAAAAAAATATTTCACTTTTCGTGTTTAGATTCGGATTGTTGAATCCTTCGCATACACGCGTACACGCCTCACAGTTTAAAAACACACTGCTCTTGTGAAGGAAATAGGGATCTATGTTATAGGCGGTGGGGGTCAGGGGGGGGGGGGGTCATTCAATATACTTAGATCGTCTGGGTATTAAATGGCAGTTCCAGACACGTACAGGGACCCTCTGTCTCGGGGTCAGATTTGTATGGGTTGTGTGCCCCTTTTTTTCTTCACTTCACCCACCATCTCACAGATTGGACCACCGTCCCCGCCCCCCTTTTGTATTTTAAAGTGTAGGGTATTAATGTGTGGAGGCAAACATGAAATCCGGGATTTCTCGTTAAAGTGTAGGGTATTAATGTGTTGAGGCGAACATAATTTCCCGTTTAGCAAAGCGTGGAAACTTTTAAAAAATGAACACAACCGATATGCATAGGGTATAAAAATAAATAAATAGAAATCGTTGTTTAAACAAAATGTAGTCGTCCAAATAAATACTGAACAATTACAATATTATTACATCTGGAATACAGCCTTTATTACTTTCCCTTCGAGCTGGGTGGACTCCAGTAGATTCTACTGGCTCGAACCCGGATTTAAACTCGAGACTTCCTGGTTAGTAGTCCAGCGCTCTACCGCAAGGCCACGCCTCCTCATCGTTTAACTGAAGCCAACGTAGAACCCTCTATGGTCCTAATAAAAACAGAGCATTGAGCATTGAGAGTGATTGACAACTTATGAGTTGAACGGATATAGTCATAAGTCTTACAGAAACAAAGCATTCAATTCAAAATGTAAACTTGTTGTTTTTTTTACAATACGTGAAACATTTCAAATGTCATACATCTCAACATCTATCTCTTCTTCGTATCGAAGAGGATTTCATCCAACACCATTAAGTTGTACGTGCCAGCATAATATGGGCCGCATGGTCCATTGACTTCTACTTTAGCCTGCTTTTCTTTTTGGATTCGCTTCCATCGCGTTTGTCAACCCAAGAACAAACTACAAGACAGCAGTTTTTATTTTTATTTTTTGGAGTACTCACCGACATAAAACTTGAATATCTCTCACCATCTAAAGATTGTATAATAATTACTTGTCAATTAACTAATTAAGATTGTATACTAATTACTTTTTAATTAGCTAATCTGCACTATATGTGTCATTTCATTCAAAAAATTGTACTTATTTTCTCTTGCCGGAAGTGCAATGTATGTCCCACAATGCAACAGCGTGGAAATTGCTTTAAATTTTACATATATGCCATTCGCGCGAACCCCAGGAAACAAATCCAATAGAGGTCAAAGGTTGAATAGGAAGACATCGGACAGGAAATGAAATCCAGAAACGGAAGTGCTTATCTGGCAACAAAACCAAGAGAAACGGAAGTGCTTATCTGGCTGTGGAATTGAAACCAATTCAGGGTGAAAGAGTAATTTGCTCTTATCTACGTAAACCGATGTGACGAAAATGGCAGAGGGGGGGGGGGTCAAAAGTAGCCTGATTTGGCAGGCAAAAATGGCTGGGGGTGGCAAAAGTAGCCTGATTTGGCAGGCAAAAATGGCTGGGGGTGGCAAAAGTAGCCTGATTTGGCAGGCAAAAATGGCTGGGGGTGGCAAAAGTAGCCTGATTTGGCAGGCAAAAATAGCTGGGGGTGGCAAAAGTAGCCTGATTTGGCAGGCAAAAATGGCTGGGGGGGGTGGCAAAAATAGCCTGATTTAGCAGGCAAAAATGGCTGGGGGTGGCAAAAGTAGCCTGATTTAGAAGGCAAAAATGGCTGGGGGTGGCAAAAATAGCCTGATTTAGAAGGCAAAAATGGCTGGGGGTGGCAAAAGTAGCCTGATTTAGCAGGCAAAAATGGCTGGGGGTGGCAAAAATAGCCTGATTTAGCAGGCAAAAATGGCTGGGGGGTGGCAAAAGTAGCCTGATTTAGCAGGCAAAAATGGCTGGGGGGTGGCAAAAGTAGCCTGATTTAGCAGGCAAAAATGGCTGGGGGTGGCAAAAGTAACCTGATTTAGCAGGCAAAAATGCAGCAACGAATGGTATACACTGACCGAAAAAAAGGGAGCTGAAACTGGCTAGATATACTGAGTACCCGTTACAGCCTTAAATTTAGCCTAAAATAGCAGCTTAAAATGTGTCCTAAAAATATGGCCTTAAATAGCGGCTTGAAGTATAGCCTAAAATAGCGACTCAAATTGTAGCGCTCAAAAATGCTCACCAAAAAAGCAAGGTTTACTATAGTCCCAAATCTCTGGAACTAAATGTGGCTTAAAATAGTGGTACAAAATGAAGCGTCATATTACTGTCTGATTAGTTTCAAAAAGCTTACAGGCTTTTGCGAATGTATCTTACAATAACGCTGCGATATATAGCCTGATATTGCTAAAACTATAGCCTGAATTGCTACAAATGTAGCCTGACATTGCTACAAATGTAGCTTGACATTGCTACAAATGTAGCTTGACATTGCTACAAATGTAGCCTGACATTGCTACAAATATAGCCTGAAATTACAACAAATGTAGCCTGACATTGCTACAAATGTAGCCTGACATTGCTACAAATGTAGCTTGACAGTGCTACCAATGTAGCTTGTCATTGCTACAAATGTAGCCCTAAATAGCGTGAATATCGCCCGCCCAACTAAACGTGAGTAGTGATGTCACGTAAGAGCGTGCCGACACGTGTAAGGCAATAATTTACATTGAGGAACGTCCGACCCGTAAATTTCTATCTATTATAGGATTGGGGAACGTGGGGTTGTGTGTGGGTGTGTGTGTACTAGGGTGAGTAATCTCAGAGTGTGGGGTGTGGATATGGCGTTTGGTGTGCGTATGTAAATTTGGGTGAGGTTGTCAATATTAGGTAGCGTGGTGTGGAGTTATATGTGTAAGATGGCGGAGGAAGATTGGTGTGGGTGTGGTTGTGTGGGACGTGTGATGTGAGATTGCTGAGTGAGGGCTTGTAACATTGGGTTTGGTATGTCTCAGAATGTATGTGTAATAGGCTGGAATGGGAAGCGTGGACATGGTCTGGTTTATATTCGAGAATACAGTATGGAGAAAGGGGGCATGAAATCTAATATTGAGTGCATAGTGGTAAGGTAAAAAATGTGAATTAGTATGAGCATGCATATATATATATATATATATATATATATATATATATATATATATATATATATATATACATATATATTTTTTATTTATATATATATATATATATATATATATATATACATAAATCATAAAAATATAAATAGACTACTTATGTATAAAAATGTATATATATATATATATATATATATATATATATATATATATATATATATATATATATATATATAACGATAATTGTATGTCTGTACGTACACCAACATAATCTATCCTATGACAGGTCTGGGTGATATTCGCCAACATCCTCGTGTTCCTGGTCGGTGTTCTGGGCAACCTGCTGGTCATCATAGTGGTGCTGTGTGTCCGTGAGATGAAGACCGCCACCAACCTGTGCCTCATGAACCTCTCCGTGGCTGATCTGTTGGTGCTCATCATCTGCCAGCCGTCCTCGCTGTTGGAGTTCTTCTACGAGGAGATCTGGCTCATCGGCAACGTCATGTGTGAGTATGTGTGATGTGTATGTGTGATGTGTGAGTATGTGTGATGTGTAAGTATGTGTGATGTGTGAGTATGTGTGATGTGTGAGTATGTGTGATGTGTATGTGTGATGTGTGCTTATGTGTGATGTGTATGTGTGATGTGTGAGTATGTGTGATGTGTGAGTATGTGTGATGTGTGAGTATGTGTGATGTGTGAGTATGTGTGTTGTGTGAGTATGTGTGATGTGTGAGTATGGATCATGCTACTGTCTCAATAGAGCCTGATATGTTCGAGTATAATCATCATTATTATCATCATCATTATCTTCAAAACGCCTTTTTATTTCACGAAGCTTCAGCAAATGCTGATCAGCCATTTTATCATGATTCATGATCCGGGCTAGAAAATCCGGCTTTTTGGAACGTTAAATCACTCCTCTAAATCTCTTTCTCCACTCATATTCTTTCTTTCTTTTGGACTCCCTCAGTGCCAATATAGATCTTATACTATGTAACCTGAACTTTATATCTGAGTAGCTCTACAAGATATTATCATAGCCTCCGCAAATTCTTATAAGAATATTACGCACTGTATCATCATAATTATATTAAGAACTCGGAAGCATAATTATAGATATAAATTTTTCGACTCTATGAGACATGGAGGATTAGGGTTGAGTATAATATATATATATTTTTTAGAGGAAATGATCATTATCTAAACGTTAGTCAAAGATTATGTTAGCTCTATCGGTAACTCAACAGCGTTGTACTATGATATGGAGCAATGTCCATTGACATTTTTCATACACATTGCCTCGCTAGAAGAAAGTGGTGAATACATCTATTAATATGAGACAAGAATTCAACTACTACTTTGATATGGACCTTCGGGTCTTAAGAGAAACTGCCTTTTATTACTTGCAATGTAGATATGAATACGTTTTTTTCTATCCGAACGCTGCTGTGAACAACGTTTAACTTGAGAACCACACACGAACGAAAACGACTGAAAATCAAAGTTATAATATAAAATTATTAAGATCTGGAGATTTATTTTCAAGACTTTAAAACCAGTAGTTACAGGAGCGATGACTTTAGGCGTTGAAGAGATAGAGTTTTCTGTTTACTGGCTCAACAATCGCTCGACTGATAACGTAATTGCTGACATTTATTTCAGACACGTCTAACTTAAACACGCAGCTCCTAAAAATATGTCACAACATCATCAAAACAGATCATAGTTTTCGGTCTAGACAGATAAGATAGACCCATTTGTTCCAGTTATAAAATATAGTACCATGTTTTTTCTAGGCATCAAAACAAATCAAACAATTTAGTCTAGACCTATAGAATAGAACTATCAAAACAAATCACACAATTTGTTCTAGTTGTGGGGTCGGCGTAGTCGAGTCGGTAAAGCTAATAGTTGCTAAATCGAAAAGTCTCGAGTTCGAACCCTCGGGCAGATAAGGCTTGAAACCTGAGGATAGCAACTCTTCTAGGAGAGACAATTCCAAAATCAAACAACTGCTGCCTTATAGTTCTTGGTTGTTCTTGGTTGGACAAAGGCTACCCAAAACGAAAACCAGACTGAAATCAATCGGACACAACGGCCTAAAGGCGCAAAACCAGTTGACACGTATACTTAATTGTGTTGGAGGGAAACCCGTCCAACACTAAAACTAAGAACGAAGAAGAAGAAATATAGTACCGTGTTTTTCTGTTTTTTCTAAACAAAGGAAGCAGTTTATTGAAGACAGATATCAAACTAAATGTCATCACATGTAGACTAAGTGCTGGCAGTGTTTCAATTAAACCAGTGACCCTTAGTCGACCAGCTTGACTCTTAACGTTTTCATATAAGTATTTCTCTCCTTTAAATTAACAATATCAAATTAAAATATTGCGTTTTACATTAATATCCAGTTTAAGTTATTAAACTCTGTTCACTGGACTCAATCCGAAAATGTTCTTACCCTCATCTTTACTCTCTCATACGATGATTTTATTTAGAGAAAAATGTAGGAAAAATGTAATTTAGGTAGCTTTAACCAGCTTTCAAGTTCACTGTCCCATGGGGTAAACCGTGGGTGAACTCAGATTTCATGTCTTTCTTACGTCTTGACATTATTTATACACGACACCCACCCCCATCCGTTTTATGTGTGAATGCCATATAGCAACACCAAAAAAAACACTATCGTTTATTGAATTATGGGCATATATCCTTATTGTCCGATTTTAAAAATCACAACTCATAACAGATATGTAATAACAAGTCGACACCCTAGCCTCACGGAAAACAGAATAAGCAACCGACACCGTAGCCCCACTTTACCTGCTATGAAGCAATAAGAAAAACTAGATGACAGAGCGATGACGTGAGAACGTCTCTTATTGCTGGGCTTTATTTAAATTTATTTTCCAAATACATTCTCTCCCCCTGCAGATCTGTATCTCACGCATGGATAACTCGTCTTGCGGTTTCCTTCGCTAAATCCATCAATATTTTATTCTTTTAATTTTATCCCTATCATTCTCAAGTCCCTCAGACCACCACCCCACCCCCATCCATCCTACAGAGCCAGAACAGAATCAGCAGACGATGAAATTGGTCCGCGGGACTGATCTGATAAGTCATGACAGTAATCCACACAACTCAATAGTCGTAATTCACTGTTACGGTCAGCAGCAGTCCATCAGGCTTGCAACTCTATTAATAGATTTGGCCAATCACATTTAGATCGATTGCGATTAAGTGACTCAAAATATCCATATAAACCTATATGCACCATTGAATCACTCATATACATAAACATATATGTATATATATATATATAGAGAGAGATGTATGTGTATGTATGTGTGCGCGTGCGTGTGTTTTCAATACATCACTTAAATAATATATTTTCGGTAATATCCAGATCAATAATGCTTGGAAGAGTTGTTACAGTTATGTTTCTGATTGTTGTACAGCAGTAACTAAGGTACACAACAATATGACAAAAGCATAAACGTGCTGTAAACACAAACGTTTAAAAGATTCATGTAGCTGTTGCTGTGTTGCTTCGTGTTGATACAGTTTTCGTCGTAAAAAGACGGCGATTATTAATTTTAGGTTACGAAAAAAAATCAAAGTTACACAATAAATGAATGATATTCATGATTCTATATGATTTTTGTTATACATATATTTAAAGAATCCTCCGCTACCTAGAAAATAAACCAACCAATATCCCTGACCTAAAAATACACAACATCTCAATCCCCTGTATAAACCTCTTGACTATTACCATCAATTGCTAGCATAATCTTACAGACAAAATGTCTGGGGAATCACAGAGTAAATGTCCAGCATCAATGGGATACCTTATTTATTCATGCATCGGTCAAGCACAACTTCCGCCTCGCTGACCACAAGGTCATAGCACCATGATAATAAAAAAAATCCAACAATATTTTCCAGGGGATGTTTCGGTAATTCCCTATTATTTACAATCATCGGGATTTCCCTCTCAAGAGAATCGTGTTTATCTAATGGCGCCGTTAAGGCTCGTTTATTAATTCAGACACGGATTATGGGTAAACCTTGGTTTTCTTGGGCCGCGGATTCGTGCAGTAATGTATCAGGGGATATTGACAGGGTTGTAGTGCATATGCTCTGTATGAGTTATCTCCCATCTTTAAACGATTCATGAGAAAACTGGCCAGTAAAAAATTATGGTTGAGTTATGGACGCCTCTGTTTTTATGGGAAAACCTTGATTCTATTTGTTTCGCGTAATTAGACATGAAACGTCTTTCTTAAGTTATGCAATCGTTCAAACTGTCTCTCCACAACAGCTGTTAATGCTATTTAAATTGTGTTTTAAAATTCTGTAGACAGGTCTTTACGTTTTTTTTTGTTTCAATTACATTAAGGTAATCACTGATTGTTTTTGTTTAATTATATGGTATAAAACATTAATTAAATTCCGTGTTATGATTAGAGCCTATGGCGTCTCTAGGACCTTGTAAAACTGGGTGCGGTAACTGAGATTGTTAAGCACCACCCCATTTCCCTCCTCCCCCCCCCAAACACACATACACACGATATAAACAACAATATTGCATTTTACATTATAGCTTGGTGCCAACCTTTACCTCTGCTATTTCATTATTTTTACTGGATAAAACATTGTTTTTGTAATATGTTTTACGATTTTTAAAATTCGGTGTAACCCCACAAAACGCTGTTTCAACTACCGCATTCGCCCTGTCACGCTACTGGTTAGGGCTAAGACTCTTAGCATCAATAATTACTTTTAAAAAAATAAGCATCAAAAAACGGTCTGCCGTCAATGTATCAAAAAACATAATTCTCATCAAAGCAAACGGCCATTTCCGTCGAGTTAGCCCGAATCTGATTGGGACATTAGCGTCGTCTATCATCATTACCCAGACGTGGTTTGGTTTCTGGAGATGTGGGGGTGGAGGGGGGGGGGGCAACTTTATGTCACCTGTGGTCAGTTAAGTCTAGAAGCTTTAGACAGGGACCGTTACAGATTCCATTTAGACCCTCTCTCTCTCTCCCCCCCTCTCCCTCTCTGTATATATATATATATATATATATATATATATATATATATATATATATATATATATATATATATATATATAATTATATATATATATATATATATATATATATATATATATATATATATATATATATATATATATATAATGGTACTTTAAAACATCTAGGCATCGTAATATGTCTGTGAGTTTCCTTACCCCATCTTGCTCATATAGTCATACGATTCAAATATGTGTCAATAAATACCTTCAAGCATAATGCTGAACACACCGTAGTTCTACGTCACATAAACAAACATTTTCATTAATTAATGTTCACTTTTCGAACTTGACGGTCCAGTTCAAGTCGAGTTCAATTGTCTCTGTGCCCTCGGCATATGAAGGGATAGTGTGGTCAGCACTATGCCCATCTGCCTTTCCCTAAGGTGAGTTAGGTATCCA